CTCATAAATCAGTACAGATATTTTAGAAATATCTTAAGCAAAGTCCTCAAATCACCGCCGAGTGATTTGAAGTTCATTTTCTGTGAAACTGTCTGTTATTATTTTCATATTTTGCCAAATTAATGTAAATGTTTGATGTTAAACTTTGATTCTGAAAATAAATGATTCCATTCATTTGATGGGTCAAAGATAAATAACGTCTCTCGTTCACATTTCTGTTAAATTCAATGCACGGCTTACACAGTCAGAAAAATGAAGAACTCGTGAAAAGTATGCATAAATATATATCCATATATTTGTCATACTACAAGTGACACGTACCTCACGTGTCTCACTACACTCCTAGAGAAAATTTGATGGCCGTTCATTTTCTCCTTCTTGGCCTCTCAAACCCAACTTGTTGAAGCAGATGACCGCTTGTCCTGAGCCTGGTTCTGCTGCAGGTTTCTTCCTCATGAGTGAGTTTTTCCTTTCCACTGTTGCCTCTGTGCTCGCTTAGAATGGGAGACTGCGATGACGTGAAAACACAAAGCAATCTGTTGGCTCCTTAGATAAATAACTTTATTAGCTAACTTTATATGTGTGCAAATGTTTCTATCCAGTACCCGGAGACAACTTCTGTTGTGAATTGGCGCTGTATAAATCAACTGAATTGGGTTGAATTGAATAATATAAGATGTTGCTTGTATACAAAGGACATCCTTGCAAAAGAGATTAATAACCTCAATGGATTTATTTCCTTGTAAAATAAATGTTTAAATAAAATAATATTAAAAAATACAAGCATGGAACAAACTCTCACTTGGTTTTGGACAACATTAATTTGAATTCTCAACAGACATGGCAGGAGATTCAACTGAAGACAACTTGGCTCACACTACAACTCAAGTGCCTCATTGGTAGAGGAGCTAAACTGCTTCTTTGCCTGTTTTGCGGCCTCATCTAGCCCTACACCAACCACAGCCAAACCTCTCTGTCACCCTCACCCCACTGTTCAAGAGCAGGACATGAGGTGAATCTCAGGAAAGCTACTTGTCCAGAAGGAGTTCCTGGGAAAGTATTAAAGTCCTGTGCAAAGCCACACTGTTCAGCTGCTCCCTGCTGCAGATCAACATACCTTCATGTTTGAAAACCACCTGGTGCTCAGAAAACCACATGCTCTCGGTCTCGGTTGTACTTGAGACAACAAATGAAGCTTCACTCATTCATTCATTCATTAAAATAATTTCATTTTCACTGAATATGATAATAAACTGAACTCCACTCTCTCCAGTTTTGGACTGATAATTGATAAGTAAAACTGGTAACACTTTACAATAAGGTACACAAAATGTGATTAACTACTAGGGAACGCCTCAGGAACAAATCAGGAGCAAATGGGGAGTTAACCACTACTTAATGGGGAACACACAGCCAAGCCTTATAGGGGACTATTGGTTTGTTACCAGAAACAGAGGAGAAATTCTCCATGTTCTGAAAAACCCTGCACCAGTGAGGTCACAGCTCATAGTCAAAAACCTGTTTCCTAGTGATTACTGATTTTATTGGATTCTTACCACTGAGTAACAATTTCATAATCTTGTACTTGTGTCATATTAAGTATGTCTATCACTTACTGAGTACCAAATCATTGCCTGGCTATTGTTTTGTTCACTGATGTGGTGACACATCATACCAAGTACTTATGAGGAACCAATCATTACTTAATCACTACCTCACCATGACCTACTGTTAGCTCCTAATTCATTCCTCTTTGGTTTCCTTGGTAACTACCCATTAATTATTTATTAGTTCCTTTTGATTTACAAGTTGACTAACCAGTAATCCCCTAGTAAGGCCCAGTAAGTACTGGTTAACTACCCATTAGCTCCTGATTTCTTCCTGAGACGTTCCCTAGTTATTCAAATGTTGTGTATATTTGTAAAGTGTTACCATAAAACTCCAGATGTGCAGTGAAACATCTTTACTGCAGAATAGAAGTCCAGTTGCTTTGTTCAAAAATAATTGTGTGAGCGTGTGTTAAATACAATTTCGGATGCAGTCTCACTTGTAACCACAAGATGACAGAAAAGCGTCAAACGCCAAACCTTAGGAAACTATTATTTTTAGTTCGACTGGAAACATTTTGCAATTTTCACACCAAATTAACCTATTTTTGTTCCACAGCCATTAAAGGCGTCACAACAATCAGACCTTTAAGCATTTTGTAGCCTAAATCTTACATATTAACGTTACACAAAATGACAAAGTCCATGCTCAATAATCCAGGTATACAATCCAACATTTTTCAGTCATTTTTCAATGATTGAAAAATGTTGGATTGTATACCTGGATTATTGAGCATGGACTTTGTTGTTTTCAACCAGTTTGACAAGACTGTCAGCAAGGAAGAGGGCCGGCAATGGAGGAGGGGGTGTACCAAAGAGACCATCTTATCACAAGCAGAACTGGTTTGTTCCACTTTGGAGTAATCTGTTGGGGTCCAAAAAGTAGCTGAAAGGAGCATAACAAGCTGAAATTAGCAGAAATAAGTTAGAAGAAATACAAAATTGTTGAAGTAAACTGAATAAAGCTGAAAAGAGCACAAAAAAGCTGAAAAACCCCCCCAGCTAAAATTAGCTGAAAGTAGCTGCATTTTTTAATAAAATTGCAAAAGGAAGCTGAAAGAAGCTGAACTGGTCCAAAATATGAAGGGAGTAGTAAAAGATTGTAAACAGATACAAAGATATGAAGGTTGTAAAATGAGCTCAATACATTTTCAATGGGAAAAAAATGGTGGAAAAGGCTAAATATTTCAAAAAGCTAAAGTTGCACAAATACCAAAAGTCATAGCTGGATTGTCCTGAAAGAGCTGACAAAAAAAAAAAAAAAGAAACTGTCCAGATGACCTGACTGAAAAATGTTGGGTTACACAAAATGCTTTTAATATAGATGAAACTATTTGAAGAGACTTAAAGTGACGTCATTTGCAGCAAAATAAATCATACAACGGCATGAATTCATTTTAAATCCAACACGTGTGACAGTCAGAGGCTGTGCTGATGAGGATAATGAAATCTGAACTGGATCCAGTTGATGGGCTGCTGTCACAGGTGGCTGGCCCTGTTTTACAACACTCCCCTGGCCTCCACCCAACACCAACCGTGGCGTGAGTGAGGAACTCAGAAACGCCTCACTTTACCAGTTCACCATCCAACAAGTGTCAGTCTCTACATGGCACTCTTTAAAGATGGCAGCGCAGAGGACGCGCACGAGTGCCCGGTGTGCTACGAGAGTCTCTCAGGCAGTGAACGCACTCTGAGCTGCGGACACGTGTTCTGCCACGACTGCCTCGTGAAAACGCTGGTGAGCATCAACAGTGATGGGAACATCAGGGACACGATCGCTTGCCCCATCTGCCGACACCTGACATTCATCAGGAGACAAAAAGAAGCGCTGGTGTCCATCGCAGCCCCAAAGGGTCCGGATGCAGGACAGACCCTGGAGGTGCCTTCCCCTCCGGGACGCGGACAGCTCCAGAGCGCACGGCGCGCCTCCGACAGCTTGTTCTCTGGAGTGAACTGGATAGTCCACTGCTGCAGGTGTGGGCTTCAGAGGATCCGTGCCGGGAGGTTAATCAGCCCCAGCCGGAACAGCGCGTGCCAGATCTTCATCATTAGTGCGCAGGGGCGACCCATGGCGGAGGAGGACGCGCTGGACGTGGTGATGGTTCCGGGTCAGCCTGAGCGCAGGAGAAGACGCAGGATTTGCACCACAGCACGATGCTTGATCCTGTTGCTCTCTGCGTTCACTGTGCTCGCGCTGGTGGCTGCAACTTTACCCTGGATTTTATTGGCATGATCCATTTGGAAGGATCAAAGTGCCAAATGAGCAACTTTTAAAGAAATATATATTTCCACGGAGTCTCATCTCTATCATTTATGAGTTTGACTGATCCAACTTTGGCACTTGATCTAAAACTGTATTTTAAAGTAAAAAAAAAATGTCAGCTATTTATTTGAGGGAATGTTGTTAAAATTTTCTTAGCAATTTATAGGTCAATTTTATGCTCATGCTTATCCAATCTGTTAATAAACAGAACTCAATGACAAGTTTCAATTTAAAACAAGAGGACCAAATCTCTTTAACACAGCTCAAGTTATTGTTGTGCTGTTAACTTCTTTCCAAGCAGCAACACAGATGAGGTCAATAAAAAAATAAAAAAATGTTGCATTTGTTCTGGAAAATAAATATGACTTAAAATGAGTCTAATTACAACAAAGCTTGTTAATAAAGAAGAATACGTTGGCAAAAGACCAACTCAATGATAAATAAGGAAAACGTGTTAAATGCAAATGAGATTACCGGCTGTGTTAAACCGCTAAACATCTCATTGGGATGACTGTTGTATTTAAAACAAACTGTAAAGAGAGAGTCTTTAAACTAAATCTATAACAAATAATTGATGCTTTCATGGCTGTCTGAAGAAGATGAGCTATCCGATTGCTGTAAGGAGAGACACTTGTGATTAGATTACCACTGAGAGCCACAGAAGCATATCTGAAGATGTGTCTTAACTTTTGTATTCAAATGTAGCATCAAAACTGATTGGGAGGAGGTTTTGCTTAGTTCTTTTTGTGTGTGTGAAGAGTTTTGCACCAGAACTAACAGCTATGCAGTTGATAATCCTAACAGATTTGACACCTGTTCTTTTTCCAGTATCTCTATCCTCTCATGGACACTCCTTGTGCCTTGTGGTAATTTCCTCAGTCATCCCGCTGGGCCAGTCCTGCAGGTTACACACCTGTACAGGCTTCTTCCTTTGAAAAATACCTGTTTTTGTTAATGCGTCAGGAAGGTGACGGCTGGTTCCATTTACTAAATGTAACTTGTTGGACTTATTAGCTCGTGGATCTGATAAATAATTAAGTTTGACACGCAAGATCCAACACCTCGCTTCAAGAGAGTAAGGCTCAAGATGTCAAAACCAGAGTTGAGGGTGGAAAAAAAATGCTCAGCGAACGAGATGATCCAGTTTCCAAATGGAAACAAGACCAACAAGTGCAAGAGCACGGTCTCAAAATACATTTAAAACGTTTATTTTTGCCCATTTTGTCCGAAAGATAAAAATGGTCTGCAGAATAAAAACATGTATTTTGTATAATTTAACAAGTAATCGATGATATACGACATTGCAACACAACTAGAAGAAGTAAAACTCTGCATGAAGAAGCACGTGACCTCTGACCTCTTCATAACCACCCTGAACTGGTTTTCTTTAAAGTTACTAATGGTTTCACACATTCACTGCCCTGGACTCTTAGTCACTCACAGTTTGATGCTTACACATTTCATTTACGCTACTGATAAAGAAAAACGCATTTCATAAAGTTACTTGTTTTGGGTGGCACGGTAGCTCAGTTAGTAGAGCTGTCACCTCTCAAAAATAAGGTTGCCGGATTGAATCCCATCCGAGGACCTTTCTGGGTGGAGTTTGCACGTTGTGGGTGGCTGCAGCGTGGGTTTTTTATTTTTCCGGGTATTCCAGTTTTCACCCACAGACTAAAAAAAAATGCATGTTGGGCTGACTGGTAACTCTGAATTATCCAGGTGTGAGTGAGAGAGTGAATGGTTGTCTCATTTGTCTCTCTGTATCCCTGTGATGGACGGGACATGTCCAGGGTGTCCCCCGCCTCTTGCACAGTAACAACACCAGTGACCCCCTGTGACCCGAAAATGAAAAAATGGATAATAATAAAAGATGGATGGATGTTTGTTTGTTATATTTGATTATGACATGTTTAGACAATGCTCGTTATTGTTTGCAGTTATTATGAAATCATGTGAAATGTGTGTTTTAACATTTTTCCTCTGCGTTTTCAGAAAAAAAAAAATAATGCGACAACACAACTCTGTTATTTGTGTTTTATATTTTTATTATTGTTGTTCATGATTATCACTTCTGTGATAAAACTTCAAAGACAAATTAAGTGTCCTCATTTAGGTGAATACTCATTTATAGTGTAGAATTCCCTGTAATTAACAGATTTTACTTCCATTCTGATTATTTAAAGGTAAATACATTAATTATGCTGTTGTGATCAGTAATCTGGCTTAGTGCCCAGTTTAACGAATGCCAAAATAAGTGGAGTGGAGTGAGACGCAAGTGTCACCCCTCCTCAGTCACTCTTTATATACCACACACTCACAAAAGTCCTGAACATTCCTTCATATTTTAACGATACCAACTCCAATAAAAGTTTGTCTGTTTCATTAAATATAAATAAAAACAGATTGCAATGATGGACATATGTTACAAGCCTATATTTTATTCACAATCAAACATAGCAAATGTTAAAAGTACAAAAAGTACCAATAAATTAAACTATAGTAACAAAATTAAAAGTAATGTTGAATTTGATGGCGGTAATGCAGCTCAAAAAAAAGTTTGGACAACGGCAACAAAAGGGTGTAAAAGTAAGTGATGCAAATAAAAAAACAGCTGGAGAGAATTTGAAAATTTAGCAACACGTTTAGTTAATTGGCAACAAGTCATTAAGAAGACTGGATAAGAAAGTAGCATTTTAAAGAGGCTGAATCTCCCAGAAGTAAAGATGGACAAAACAAACAAACAAACAAACAGCAAAACATTTTTGATGCATTTTTCTTACTCAAATCCAGAACCATTTTCAGGGAATATTTGTGTTTGCTAGCTGTTGCTGAGCTACTTAACTGAGATTTTTTAATAATTTAAGCATAAAATAACTCCTAAAGCCAAGAAATGAACGAGTGGCATGAAACATCTGATCTCTGAACCACTTTTAAATTATATCTTCTACTTTGTTGTAAACAACCTGGCACGAAAAAAAAAAAAAAATCCAACTGAATTTATACAAGACCCCAAGGATAACACAGTTTGACTAATAAAACATTATTTTAGCACCAAGAAAGTCCCAGAAAACCTGAACAATCAGCTCAAAGACGATGCATCTCTCATCTGCTTTTTCTGGTTTCTGCTGGATTTTGTTTCTAAATATAATAATTGTAATACTCAAGGAAAACCTATTGTTGATCTGTTGGATATATATGTTTAAACTAGAAATTTTTTTTCTTTTGCCTTTTGATGTCCACTTTCCTAACGTTTTAAGCTCTTTAGCACAATATGCTGTCATATTCATGACTGAAAAATTGCACAGAAAATAAGTGAAAAAGCAAATGGTGTCAAGGGAATGTGTATTATTTGCACTAACCATACATAACTACTACTTCTGCTTCTGTGCTGTGAATATTAAAATGTTCCATGTAATAATCAGTCTTTGTGTGACCGGTCAGTAAGGGATAGCAATAGATAATTTTTATTATTCTCAGGCTGACTGATATGACATTGATATGATACAGTGACATGTCTTTAGAGTCCTTGAGTCTCCGTCTTCACAACTCTCTGACGTATCTCTGTGTGCAGCTGGGACAGCTGATAACAGAGCGAGGAGTGGTGGTTGAAGGCTGGCGCCGGGCTGATTCTACAGAACTGATTTTTTCTGTTCAGAAAGTTAGAATGGGTCAGAGCCTCAGACAGGTGAGAGCATTGATAATTAAATGGTAAATGGCCATCTTTACTAGAGCTCTACAAGCTAATCTGGATCTGTAGAGACTAATCAGTGCTTTATCACATTCATACAATGATGGGACACACATCGGAGGCAATGAAGTGTTCACTGTTGGAATCGAACCCTCAACTCTCCCATTGGAGGATGATTGCTTTAACCACTCAGCCACAGCTGCCCAAATACATGTGAATGTAAATGCATTGATCTTCTGTGATCGTGGCAGTTCTCCAACACTTAAATAAATCTGATGAAACTTACACCTGGTTGTTTGGGCATCTCTTTTTTCCACGTCAACATATCTGATAAAAACCTGGAGAACTACTGAGCAGAACCACAAAAAGAGTGAAAAATAGGGACAGCTCAACTCTTTTGCACATTACTGTTCATTAGTGGGCTTAAAATGTAGCATCTGTCTGTTTAACAGCTTGATTTGATGAGAAAAAGCAAAGCAATAAAGACACAATAAGCAAGCAAAGTTCTTAAAAATGTAGAGTTTAATATATATTTATATTTATTTCTGACATTCTGATAAGGATTGCAGGTAGGCTTCACAGCACACACTGTGTTGAACTTCTTTTGCCAAGCAGAGAACGGAGGGGTGGACATGATGGGCTCAACAAGCAGCAGATTTTTGTTTTACACATCAGCTGTGAAAAGCAGAAGGAGGCTGTACATCCACAGGCAACCTCCACTCCTCCTCTATATTGCTCAAAATCCCACATTTATCGAGACCCACTTTTTCTGAACCCTTCCACGTATGTCTTTATTAACTCCGCATACAATCCCTAAAAAGACGGTGAAAACATGGATTATTAAAATACCCACCTAAGTGCATGCATGACACCTTTTTTTCCAGCTAGTTTCTCATTTAAACCCTGGACACAAAATGTAAACGAACTTGGCTTAAATTTAGACCAACACACGCAGTTAAGGTGAGCTCAGAATTAGGCCTAAAGTCATAAAAAGCTTGATAAATTCTGATGCAAAAATGAACGTGTCATAAAAAAAACGTAAGTTTTGATAGCTAAAATTAGATACATGACATAAATTATAGCTCACATTTTTAAGGAAAGGAACTGATGATTTTTTTTGTTGTTGTTTTCTTTAAGCAGCACACCTAAAATGAATATGAATGCATGCTTCTACGTTGCTGCAAGTTCCAGTTATAATGCGCAAATGCATTCGAGTGATAATGTCATATAGGCTGAAACTCATTCAAATACTAACTCCCATTTGTCCTGCTAGTTATTACAGAGTGCCGTAACCTGCCATCAAAAATCTGTCAGTCACATTCAGAGACATCCTTATACAAATGTATTGATGCTGCACACAAAATAAAACCTCCAGCACATGTTATTTATGACTATAGCTCCATAACAACCAGAGTGAGGGCACTTGCATGTGTAGTTATATAATTACCACAACTATCGATACATCACCAAAATCTCCATGAAGTTTCAGCACACACCCACTGAGGCATACCAAAAAGATTCGTCTATAATTCTTTTTGATTCACACACACAAAAAAAAACCTTCTAAAAAAAAATGCTTTGCAGTGAATTCAATGGCTTTTCTTCTGTAGTTTGGAAAATGTGAGCGAGACCACGTCGTTTTGACTCGGTTGGATCGGAAAACACTGTAATTGCACTTTAATTGACAAGCTTGCTGTTCTAAGATGCTGTGCAAGAAAAGGTGGAACTGCAGCGAGCGTCATCAGGTGACTCTGAAGAATTTCTAAGTGTCAGAGAGCAAAGACAAGCCATCTTCGTATTCAGAAGTTTGTGATTTTTTTAAACTTTCCAACAAAATAAACAAGTTCCGTTACTTAGAATTGTTCAACGGAGCAGATCACTTAGATTATCGCCCGCCGCCAAAGGTACAAACGTTTTTTTGTTTGTACCATTAGCAAAATATCTCATTACTGTAAACACCAAATGGATATTAATAATGTCTTCAGAAGTAATCACTTGGTTGAAATCTATAACATTAACTTTTGGAGTACATCTAATCCAAGATGGCCACTGGGGCTTGCAAACTGTAGAAAACACAAAAAGTGCTATAACTCAGCCAATATTACAGATATAGAGCTAAATTTTAGCATGGTTGTAGCTAAGTAATTAACCTCAACACAAACTTTGAGCTCATAACATTGTGCAATATTTTTTCTTAAAACATTGGCATTAACTGTTGGAGTCAACCCTGTTTGTCTGTTAACAAAATATCTCATACACCACCAGACGAATATGAAAGAAACTCTCGTAAAGTAATTATCCGCTGCACGGTTACAAATTATTAACTTTTGGAATCAATTCAATTGAAGATGGCCACCACAGCAAAGCAACCTAAGCAAACACAAACCTGACCGTAACTCAGTCAATTGCACAAATATTGAGCTAAAGTTTGGTGTAGTAGCTGGGAGTTGCTCACAATACCTAATCCAAGCGTTGACAAATCATACGAGCTCTTGTGAGAAACTGCACATAATTTTTCTTTCAAAGACTCACCAAAATAACTTTTTTTCTGATCTTAGTCTAAAACTCAGGCATAGAAGGCGGCGGGCGATGTGCATTTCTTCAAGAAATGCGGGGCTTTAAGTTTAAACGGGATCACTTGATTAACTTTTTATTTAAAAAGAAAAGAGTAATTTGTAATTATTGTGCAAGTCCAATGATTTCTAACTGGACTGGAATCAAATCTTAAACAGCAGAGAGAAAAAAAAAAAGAAGAAGCTTCGGCTGATTTGTAGCAGAAACAACGTTCTGTTCGTTTGCTGCAGCACCATAGTTTCCTGGTGTTCATGTGAAATATAATGAACCTCTAGCACACCCGTTTATTGTGTGCAGGGACAAAAATAACATCAATTTTTTTTAAAATCCATACATTTTCTACACAATAAATATCAGCACATATATTATCATCATTATATGCTCAAGATACACATTTTACATATACTTTTCCTCTCGCTTTTTATACACATCAATTTATGTACAGTCGTATTTACACTCGGGGTCAAAGGTCAATGAACCTGAAGCACTTGAAACAAAGTTAAGATAAATCACACGAACATAAAGGCAGTGCTGTTGTCCATCCGTTATCGTCGAGCTGCTAAAAGCCGAGCACGCATGGGGTCTAAAGAAGAACACTAACACTCACACACAGTAAAGCACTGCCACTCTGAGGCCCTCCATCTGAAGCAGGCCGATCACATACGCTTCTCATGCAGCAATATCATGGGTCTTTCCTCCAATTAACAGTTACAAAAGCTAGAATTACAATAACATTCTTCTCATTATGTGCTGGTACAGTATAAAGTGAGTCAAAGTGAGTTTATCTACAACGGTAGACGTCTGGCAAACAGTTTGTGATAAAAAAAAGAGACGTGGGGGGTGAGGCTATACAAATCAAACTGAATTAAGTGTTTCATTCTGCATGCAGAGCCTGATTTTAAAGGGCCTGGCATGTATTTTTTTCCTAATGTGTGCAAAGTTGAATACCCTGTGAGCAATCAAAGCAGACTGTATGCTCTCTGTCTCCGTTTCAACCTGAGGATGAGCTTCCCTAAGCAAAACGTGCACAATGTGTGAATATCATATTGCAATTGTACTGCAGGAAAGAAGAAAAAAAAAAGACACACAAATTTAAGTCACTGTATTAAAAAGCAAAATAAAGTGACAATGCAAAGTGAAAAAAAGCAAGAATAAATCAGTGGGGGGGAAATATTTTCATGTAATACTTATTTTTCCAGTCTTTCCTCTTAAAGGCAACAGTTCGTCCACTATGGCATTTTGGTGTTTTTTAAATTTTTTAGATTTTTTTGTAGTCACATTAATGTAATAGCGAGCAGCTGTGAAAGACGAGTTTCTCTGCAGCTTGTAGCAGACGTGAGAGAGTTTGTGTCCCGGTTTCTGATGGGTATCGGTGAAGCCAGTGTTTGTTTCCACCAGGCCTCCATGGCAACAGTTAAGAGCATCTATAGCCAAAGGGTTGCTGCTGGTACATGATGCCTCGGGGTCATAGGTCATAGAATGGTGCTCTGGGGCTCCTCCTCAGGCACAGTGTCCCCATCTGGAGAATCTGTCACTGCCATGGACCTCCTGCAGGGGGCGCTGCTGAACTCATCGATGAGGCTGTCCAGATTGACATTGATGGAGGGGATTTCATAACTGAAGATATCTAATGGTGAGCATGATGGGAAAGGTGAGCAGAACAGCGGAAACAGTATCGATGAGTGACAGGAAGAGGAAAAAGAGGGCATATGATGGTGATAATGAGGTGCAAAAACGAAAGAGAGCAGAAATAATGTTAGTTGATTTTAGCTTGACTTGTGATGAGTGGCATGTAAACCTGATTAAAGTAGATTACATGTGCTTCACATTCTACAGAGGGACATTCTCAGTTTGATATTAGCCACAGATTAGTGTCTTTTGGCAGAACAGCAACACATATTGTCAGATAAAAAAAACAAAAATAGGTCAAATGACTGCACAATGACACATTGCACGGCTACAACAACGGCCAGATAAACCAACACAGAGGCAACAAGATGTGTGTGCGGGACTCTGTGGAGAAAAATGGCACCAAGACACCGAGTGGCTTAAAGTAACAATGGAAATCTCATGAGGACTGCTTATAGGCTACATATTTGCAGAATCTTTAGCGTTGCACCGTTTACTGGAAGCCACAGGTCCAAACAGACTGATGACTTACTCCTGTGTAGGAATGAGATGGAGAGTGGAAGAAGAGGAAGCAGGGGTTACAAAAAAGCGAAAGGAAACGTTACCTGTGGACCCCTGAGAAGGGGGGCGTTAAGAGAGGGAGGTGTCTGCCAGCATGAGGCCAGGTACAGGAAATAAACTGAACGAGGAGGGCAGTTTAAGATGAGCCTTTGTAAGCAATGGTTACTGCAATGTGAGTGTAGTGTGGTGCACTCTGGGAAATCCATAAGCCACGCCTTATAGGATTACTACACATTGCAACGAAATATTCATTTCAAGCATAAAAGCATATTCTAATTGAGCGCTACAGGTGGGTGTCTGTAATGCTGGCTGCAGGAGACCCCAGAGGCATCCACAGTACGAGGCCAGGCAGTGAGATGGAGTGCATGGGGCGGGGGGCGGTCTGGCTTACCCTAAAAGTCCCCCTCACACTTAGCCCACACTGAATCCCTGGCCTCACACAGCTGCAAAGTACACAACAGTAGCAGGGGAGGACAAGAGAATGATAAATATAACAAAGTAAAAGAATGACTGGAATATATATATAGATATATATATTAACAGAACACCTCATCATCACAACATCATACTGCAGATATATTGTGGGAGGGGGGTGTTTCTGGTTATGTTTCCACACCTGCTCACAGTAAGCCTCTGACCTACCTCTGCCACATGGGGGGGTCTGGGTAACACAGATAAACAGAGAGCACATGATGAATCTAATGGGGACTTCCATACAAGCAGAAGGAGCTATGCTTGTCTGATGTTTCCACACGTTACCCAGAAACATCACCACAGAACAGAAGCGATGAAAACGTCTGCTCACTACACAGAAATGCTCAAATTTACTTTTTGCATTTGTTTCTAAAAGGCAGCTTTTTTGACATTTGATTGTTTGGGATCAGTCAGTTAAAGGGAACAGGTGTTCTCTACGTCTACAGTCCTACGGAGTCCTACACTCGTCCACCATCTCCGTTGGACAGAGCCACAGCGAGTCTGAGTGAGGGCCGCTGCAGCCCCACCTGAGGTGGTGGTGGTGGGGGTGATGTCGCCACGGGCTGGTGTTTACCTGTAGACATGCTCTCTCCAGGAGATAGCCCATCCAGGAGGCCCTGCTCCAGAGGCTGGGGGACTGGGGGACCGGCCAGGCCAGAGAACCCCAGGGGCACTGTGGGTGGTTGAGGAGGGGGCAGGCTGGGTCTCTGCCTGGGCTTGGGAGCAGGCCGTGACTTGGTGAGTGTTCCTGTCAGGGAGGGTGGGGACGATAGGGAGTGGGGGGCACCGAGCGGAGTTTGCCCAGGGGACGACGGTGGCACTTGCCCTGGAGGACAGATCAGTCCATATGGGGACGGGGTGCTGGGAGGGGTTGGGGAGAGGCTGACTGGTGAGGGCTGACCAGTTGACTGGTCAGATATCACTCCTGACTGGCCGTAAGGGACTTTTGGAGGGACGGGGGCCAACTTCTTGGAACCTGCAAGCACACAGTTACAATTTTATTAATGTCCTCTCTGAAAAATTTGTTAAAACTAATAAACGAAGATAAAAGTGCTGACCTTTGCGAAGAGCGTGTGGGCTCTGCTCTGCGGAGTGGGGGGACTGGCTGCTGCTCTGAGGGCTGCTGCTGGGGGGCACTGTTGGACTTGCCACCTGGATGGCTTTGTGTCCAGTTACAGGGGAAAGCTCTTTACTCTTCAGTGAGCTGAAAAACAGTAGACATGATCATATGGACCAAATAAAAACAGAAAATTATTGAACACTGAAGCCTTGGACTGTTTGTGTACAACATATGCCTCATGTTACTTCCGTACTACAACACTCACAATCATCATCATCACCACCACTGCTACTGACTCACACTGTTATAATCACACTTTTACCTATGTAAAAACATTTTCTAAAGTCAAGAACACAATTAAAAGCAACAAAACATCAAGTCTGTCATGGCAAAATGGATCAAAATACAATTTTTAAGATGTTTATGCACTCATATAATAAATCACCACTACATTTTTTTTCTCTCTCAGCACTTAAAACATTCCCAGCACATTGAGAACTCAACGAATGTTACTGTCCCGTCTAATTCAAGATGAAATTCATGTTTTCTTTTTGTCAAAAATTGCACAACTCTAGAAACGTGACCACATTTTATCAGAAAAACATAAAAAAAACACATGAACAGAAAACAAAAACATATATGTTATCAGAAACATTATCTATAAACACTGATTTCATTCTTTGTTGACCCGTTAATCTAACAAAATAGAAGCCTATTAATAAGGTTATGTATTTTTTTAAACTCCCTTAGTCCTTTAGAGATATGAACCAAACCTGCAATAAAAACAAAATATCACTAAAATTGATAAAACAGTTATTATGGCATCATGAGGCATCAATGTGTTTAACTTAATGGTACTTCTTCTAGTTATCTGTTAACAATGGTGTACCACAAGGTTCTGTCTTAGGCCCTACCCTCTTCACACTCTACATAGGTAATGTAGATTAGATCATCCTTGATGTGTTACGTTTTTATGTTGATGACAAAGTTGTTTACTGTCGAGCTACGACAGTTGCTAATGTTTTCCAGCTTTTGCAATCTGCTTTTGACATCATCCAGTCAGATTTGTTCTGTCTCAAACTTGTACTAAATGCAGACAAAAGCCAAAGGGAAGCTGTTTTCAGACAGGAAGCCGGTCCCAGTCCTTCCCTTGATTATATCTTGGAACGGTGTTCCTATTTAGTTTGTTGATTCCTACGAATATTTTGGTATTTTGGTCGATTCACATCTCTTTTTTAAACCTCGTGACGAAAACTTGGTAAAGAAATTGAAAGTAAAACTGTTTCTTTGTTTGTTTTCCCGTCTAACTCTGGATAATAGGAAATACCTTGTAACTGTGACTTCCCTTCCCTCCATTGACTATGATGACATCATTTGCATGAATGCTCCTTCAAGCACCTTGCAGATGTTGGACACTGTCTATCACGGTGCGCTAAGATTCATAACTGGCTGTAACTACGTACCCATCATTGTATCCTGTATTCATCATTAACTTCACGTAGACTCTCTCACTGGTACATTTTCATCTTTAAATCACTTTTTGGTCTGTTGCTTTCATACATCTCCTCCTATGTCACTGCGTGAGTGCAGCTACAGCGTACACTCTCAGGACATCATTACATGCAGTGTTCTCTCAGTACGGACTGAACTAGGCAAAAGGGCCTTCTCTTACTCGGCTCCTGTTTCCTGGAATATCTTGCAAAAAGATCTGAAGCTCTCGACCTTGACCTCTCTAAGTGGCTTCAAACATCTGTTACGTTCCTGGCAAAAACCAATGCAGACATGTTCCTGTTTTTAGTATTTTACATCGCTTTATAATGTAGCTGTTGGTTTATTTTTTTTAACATAATTTTCTTCCATTTATTTATTTATTTTTTCTCAATTTATTTGCTTTCTTTTAAGAATGTCTATTGTTGTCATTGTTGTCTACTGTTGTCTGTTAAAAACAGGTTTCTCTTGTAAATGAGTCCTCGAGGCTCAATGAGACTAATCTGCAAAAATAAAGGTTGAATTGAAAAACTGAATGAGGTAATTTTAAAACATATACATTTCCAACATTTCTATCTCAAAGTTCAGAAGTAGAAGACAAATATAACCTTCATTAGTTATGCTTCAAACTGACAGCGTATCCCACAAACTGAAGCCTAAAGAGACATTTCAACAAATTGACAGACTATTAAATAAGTAACAAAGCTAACGGCACACAAATATTATTAAATACAATTTGTGTGATATTTTGTGAACATATGCCACTTATTTCTATCCCCATCTTGTAAAACAACAGTGCCATTTTTTGTTTATGTATAAACTTACTTTTAGATGATGATTGTGTGTCTGGAACATAGAATAAATCTGAAAAGCAAGTCTTGGAGCTCCCAAAGCACAAGAAATACTGTTGCCAGTTCAGATTAAAAAAAAAAATGATAGCAATGATTTACTCCATTCTTTATCTGTGCTGCTACCATAAGCTGCTATATTCATACCCATCTGCTCACAACAGACTCATGTTCAGGCTGCTGTTTAATACACCTTATTATATTATATTGTTATTGTATAGCTTATATCTTAGATCCTTATACTGTTTTCTTTTTTTAATAGTTTATATTATTGCTATTTTTGAGTGTAACTGGGACCTTGAGTACACAATTTTGTTCCACCTCATATACAACATGTTTTGTGCATGACAATAAAGAAAATTGAACCTCGAACCTAACACCAAAATATTGGGAATCAGAAAAGTGTCAAAGTGACTCAAACTTTGCTCTTTAGCTGGACTATCCTGGCACTGTTTTCTGGTCATACTTGCAACCAGAGCCATATTGTGACACAAATCTTTAAAAAAAAGTAAATTCTCAAAACTATGAAATACTCCATTTGTTTGTCAACACTAATATAAAAAATAAATAAAACTTTGGATTAAAAATAAATCACATTTGACATTTCAAAGCCATTACATGACCTGTGTTTGTTCTCCTTCATACAACATCAGTCTGAGTAAGCTGTGTGTATTTTTTGGTTTCTATGGTAACCAGCATCACTATCATCCCCAGACAACCTGAATGTTACAGAATCTTAGGTTTGGCACTGCAGTAATGAAGAAAAAGAAGCAAAAAGCAGATTTGAGCCAGAGGAGAAATGAAGCTGCCACTCAAGTGATGCGTCCATAGTGGCCGTAGGTAGGTGTGTTGTATTTACCTAGTCAGCCTGGGGGGTCCTCTCTCTCGAGCACATGGACAGGCAGCCCACGGTGGGGGTGGGGGCACAGATGAGGGAAGGCTAGGGGGATTGCCAAGGGCCTGGTCATGGCGGGTCAGTATCAAAGGGGTTTTAACATAAAGTGGAGAAGCATTCATGTCAGGCGGGGGGGCGTGCGACATGTCACCCGGCGGGCTGTGCTTGGGGAAGTGAAGACAGCTAGGTTTTGGGTTTGAATTGATGTCAAGTGACGAAGAGGAGGAGGAGGAAGAGGAGGAAGGAGGTGGGGCAGGGGGCGTAAAGCCAGACCAGCGCAATGGGGGAGGGGGGGAGGCCGGGGGCTGGGACTCGGGACCCGGTGCCACAGGGCGAGTGCAGGGCGGGGGTTTGGGGTAGAAGTGGTGTGGGGTAGCGTGGCACGAGGAGCTGGGGTAAGGGGGGGGAGGCCGGTCCTCCCCTGGGGGTGGGTGGGCATGAGAGGTGTCCGGCCGATTGAGCTGCACGTTGTCTGAGCTGCAGACATTAAGAAAACAGACAGCACAAATAAAACAGCTCGAGTGGCTGAAACGCACAACAGCCATTTAATAAAAAATATGTGTGTTCTGATGGTTTGGGTGTTAGTGGGTTAGTTGGTCTGTAGGCCAAAAAACAGGCAACAAAAAATAATTTTAGGGGAAACTGGTGAGCACCATACTTAGCACACAGTCAGCTTAGAGCAAATACAAAGACAAGCACAAAATAAGCAAAACGAAATAGCACCTTGTTGCCACAGGTAAAGAATAAAGTGTGTAAAACCTCTGTGATCACCTTGTGTCTGCACACTGCATGGAGCTCTGAGGATCTTTCTCTTTTGCCAAAGTCTTGATATGGAGCTTACAGTGCTATCAAACTGAGCTATCTCCTCACTACTGGATATAAAACCCTGATTGTATACGACTTTGTTTGCAGCCCAGGTCCTGCAGTCAGCCCAGGGCAGTGTGAAACAGACACAAAACCCTTTCATCAGCTGAAAGAGCCACAGGAAATGAGGGGAAAGCCAGCCAAGTCAGAAGCCAGATTAATTCTTGTCTGCCACTCAGGCAGAACCACTAACCATGAGGTGATTCTTCATGTGTTTCAATATGAAAGTGGGACCGACTATGCTGAAATCAATCTGAGTGTGAAAAAGAAAGAAAGACCGAAGCTGAGAAAGCCAAGCGGACAGTGACATATTGGATATATCAGCATGCTTGCAAAGATGTACAGATTAAAGCATAAAATGGCATATTATTCATAAACACCACTTCAATACAGGATTGAGACAAACATATCTTGAGTTAAAAAAGAAGTATCAACTACAAAGCAATAAAAATAAAAAAAAACAATTACTAAAAAGCATAATGTTCCAAAAGTGCAGAATGTGAAATCAGAACAATGGATTGGAGCAACGCCACTTTACTTTCTTCTGCTTCAAATGGTCCTTTTGGGTGAAAACAAATGCTAAGTGGTGATCACTGGAAAAAAAACAAAAACAGATGTGCCAGCCCTAAAAGTTTCAGTGTTGCTTATACACAGAAAAAAAATGGTTTGCTGATTTATTTGCTTTTCTAAAACAAAGAAAGACAATAACAAAAGCGTAGTGCAGTGAGGACTTATATGGTCAACAGTGGGAGACGTTGGAGCTGTGGGAGTGGGAGCTGTTTTCATTTATGGAGGAGACAGACATGGTAGAGGCAGGGCAGCCGACTCGGACCAGAAAGCCCCAGGTTCGATCCCCAGTCATTGCACATCTCGAGAAGTCTCTGAGCAGCACACCTTATCCTCAAAAATGCTGCCCAGGTGCTTTCAAAAGCTGCCCACTGCTCCACCTGGTGGTGGATGGGTTAAATGCAGAGAGCCAATTTTGCCATTGTATGGGAACATACAATGATGACAATACATAACACATTATTATTATCAAGCGTCTGCTCGATGGAGCAGGTGAAGCAGCTTCACCCCATTTTCCAAAGTGGGGGTGTAACTAACTAAGCATGCATCATTGATAGAAACACTTTTTATTCCTTATGTAGAAACAATTACATCCTTGTTTTTGTTCCCCAATATTATTATGTAATTAGATGACCGATATGTATAGACTTGATCATCACCTGATCAAAAATAAATCAGTTATGCTGAAGTCATATTATACTTTTATTAAAGTGAGATTTTTCTTTCTTCCCAGTGAGAGTTGGACTCCTCCAAGGTTGCCCATTTGTCACCATTTCTGTTCATAACTATTATGGACAGAATTTCTAGGTGCAGCCAAGGTGTTGAGGGGATCAGTTTTGGTGGCCTTAGGATTGCGTCTCTGCTTTTTGCAGATGATGTGGTCCTACTGGCTTCATCAGGTTGTGATCTACAGCTTTCGATGGAGCGGTCTGCAGCCAAGCGTGACGCAGCCAGGATGAGGGTCAGTTCCACCAAATCCGAGGCCATGGTCTTGAGCTGGAAAAGGGTAGAGTGCCTTCTCCGGGTCGGGGAGGAGGTTCTGCCCCAAGTGGAGGAGTTTAAACATCTCAGGGTCTTGTTCATGAATGAGGGAAAAATGGAGCAAGAGATCGATAGGCAGATAGGTGTGGCGCCTACAGTGAAGCGGGCGCTGTACCGGTCTGTCATGGTGAAGAGAAAGCTGAGTCAAAAGGTGAAGCTCTCAATCTGGTTTAAAATTCAAACCAGAAAAATCCATCCATTTTTTTCCACTTATCTGGCGTTGGGTCATGGGGGTAGCATCCTATATAGGGAGGCCCAGACTTCCCTCTCCCCAGCCACTTGGGCCAGCTCCTCCGGAGGAATCCCGAGGTGTTCCCAGGCCAGCTGAGAAACATAGTCCCTCCAACGTGTCCTGGGTCTTCCTCTGGGTCTCCTCCCGGTGGGACATGTCCGGAACACCTCACCAGGGAGGCGTCCAGGAGGCATCCTAATCAGATGCCCGAGCCACCTCAACTGGCTCTTCTCGACGCGGAGAAGCAGTGGCTCTACTTCGAGTCCTTCCTGGATGACTGAGCTTCGCACCGTATCTCTAAGGGAGAGTCCACATTCTGCGGAGAAAACTAATTTCAGCCACTTGTGTCTGTGATCTTGTTCTTTCGGTCACAACCCAAAGCTAGTGACCATAGATGAGGGTAGGACCATAAATCGACTGGTAACATGTTTGACAAATGTAAAATATATGAACAAATCTGCTGCTGGTTACCTAATGTTCAATGATCTTATTAGAGCATGCTACATAAAGATGATATAAAATAATGACAGTTCACTGTGAATTCAACACAGGATAAGGAGACACATGAGAAAAACAAAACATTTTATTACTGTAAAGGACAATCCTAAAATATGGTACATCCCACCTGGGCTCACAGCACATGGCACATCTGGCCACCGGGTGGTGTCATTCCACTTTTATTAGGAAGAACATTGTTCTGTCCATTTACAAACGTTTTGAAATAAACACTGAAAACTGATCATGGTTCACCTGACAGGCCATTTAATTTTCATAGTTCAAACCAGTAATCTAGTCGTATTTACCAAGAGTTGCATTTAGCAATTTGTAAAGTGAAGGTATTCATTTTCACCCAAATACAGATGGAAGCTTTTTTCCAGAAAAGTATCTGGATGTGTTGCTCCAATCCATTGAAAAGATTTAAACATTAATATGTTGACTGAGGTAGAAAAAAATAAGAAAGCTTTGCTTAATGATGTATGGGTCACACGGCCAAGGACGCTGGTCAAACCCTTTTAGGAATGCTGATGGTGATGACGATGGTGATGACAATTAGGATGATCACGAGTGTGTGCGTGAGGAAGCAGGAAACGGTGTTTCCATGGTAACTTACCAAACCCTTTCCCCTAGTGGTGGAGTAGCGGACGGAGAGCTGGCGAGCTCTCCTGGCTGCTCGGGGATGAGCGTGTCTGCCGGAGAGCCAGGCCCTTGCATGCCTGGAGGAGTGGAGGAAGTCTTGCGCGTCAGCGTGGACGAACCCTTACGAGACACCCAGGAGGTATCCATAACTCGAACGCCCATACTGGAGAGACACACGCCCCATAGTTACGTATGATAAAAACAATATGCACATGAAGTGTGTGTGTGGGAAAATTTTAGGGAAGAAGTGGGGAAAAAGGAATGATACGATACCTTTGTATCTTCCTAATGCTGCGTTAGTAGGGAGAAGAGAGGCAAAAAGGATGTGAGGACATATGGAAAGTGATGCAGACATGGTTCACATTAAACATAGCCAGTGTACATGAGAGGAAGATGAGGTGCACTATGACAGGGACGAGGAGAGTGCGGGGCTGTTCAGAAGGTGAGACTGTCAGAGCAGTTTACCTGTGTGCACTCAGTGGCTTTAAACACCTTTTCAATTAAACCAGTTACGAGCAAGTACTGCCAAGTTGCTCATTACTTGAAACAAATAAAAGGCATTTCCTGACTTCAAAAGACAAATTGTTACAGCTTTAAATCAATATCTGATCTTGGAAGCTTTGTGTTAATTTGAATTGAGCGGGTTTCGTTTCCCCCTTAAACAATTTTCTATCCGCTGGATGAGTGACTCAGGCCAGGTGACGCACCAGCCAGACTGTGAAGGAGGAGCTGGGTGTGGGAGGACAAGAAGATGAGCCCAGAAAAATATTTCCTGAGGAAAAAAGAAGTGACTAACAGCTCTCCATGAGAAGGCCTGTTGCCATAGAGACAACACCACTCAAGCAATGCAGCCGTTTCTCGATGAAACCTGATAACAGTGGGTTTAGTGGTATGTAGGAGAATGACTGGAGATGAAATGTTCATTTTTCTGTCACCTGTGGAGGCACCTGATACTCTGGGGCAACAATTTAAGACTGCAGGATGTGCAAATCCCTGAGCTCGTACAAATTCAGTTCAGCGGCGTGGGTGATGAGAGCAAGTGCAAGATGGAAGAAGAGTAGGCAGCATCATACCCATCTTTCTTGTAAAACTCCAGCATCATGTTGTCAGTGGCAACGCTCAGCGGGCGCTGGCTCTGGTTGTGCTGCTGCTGCTGCTTGCGTTCTGATTGGTCCAAGTCTGGCGAAGGCATGGAGCTGTAGTTGGAGTTGTGGTTGGTGTGGATCGGGCTTCCGTAGCTGCCTGTCAAGTTGAACTCGATGTCTGTGGCATAAACAGACACAACAGCACAAGTGACGTATAATTTTATCAGTGCTTCCAAAAAAATCTACTCAAAAATATAGTTCTTGGGCTTAAATATAATCATATTTTGAGCATTTTTAAATACAGGTAACATAAGAGGAAATATGCAATTTGCAAAAAAATTGTTTAATATATCAAAAGGTCAGTTGACAAATGTAGTTATGCACATTTTGGTTATATTACAGTTGGTTTTCTGTACATTTAATCTGTATAATCATTTTGTAATGGGGCTGTGAGAAAAAAGAAGGAGTCATGTAATAACTGGATTCTCAGACTTGATTTACTAAACTGAATATTAACTTATAGAGCATATAATAATATATGCATAACATATTATAATAATATGTAATTAATTAATTATGTACATTTATATATGTAATTCTTGCAAAGCACTTTGGTCAGCTGTGGTTGTTTTTAAATGTGCTATATAAATAAACTTTGAATTGAATATAATAGAATAACATGGTTTTAAAAATGACAGCTATTTGTGTATATCTGCTTAATAAAGGTCATATATCTGTTACTGCTCTATGTGGAGTTGTTTGGATACACACTTCTGAGAGGATAAACTTTTAGCATAGCTCCTGCCACTAGTTATAGAATTGGGAATTTAAAAAATAAAAAATAAAGCAAATGCTGGACTTGAAAGGCATCGTTCAAATCAGCCAAATATTCAATGGACTACAAGCATCAGGTTATTAATATTTCTATGCACCTGCTTCCACAGAGGGGAAGGCCTGGATGAACTTTAAAGCAATATTTCGGAGTAAATTTCCTGTAAAGAGCCCCTGAGTGGACATTTTGTTGTAAACAGATTCATAAATAGTTTTATTATTTGCTGAGGTTTTGTGCACAGATAAAATTGTATTATAGTCTACTGGCAGGCTGTGATATCTAAGCACAGTTAGTAGGTACAAGTGTTAGGGGAGCTGCACATTTTACACTTTGGAACAAAAATTAAAATTAAAGCAAATTTTTGTACAAGTTTAATTTGCAGAATTCACAATATCATGACATCATAACGTTGACTAGCACTGATATTCATCAACTTCTTACTTTTTCTACAATGCAAACAAACGACAGGGACTGGAGTTGGAATTAGCTATAGCTATATACTCTTTGTGCAATGCATCAGTCACAGACTTGTTCTGTTCTATGTTTGTTTGCATTGTCCCTGTCAAATAAACTAATAAAATAAAAATTAAAAAATTAAAAATATATATATATATAGTTTTTTCCTTGCAAAACATTTCAGTTACACAGAATTTAAATAGGTGTTATAAAAATAACCAGTGTAATCTACAGGTATTTTAATATTTTAATTTTATTAGCAAATTTAACCGTAAAATTTAACGTATTGGACAGAGTGTTCACTGAATATCCACAATTCTGGATATAAGTTGTTTCCTTGCAGAAATCTATTTAATACCCCAGTCTGTTTGTAAATTAAATTGCTCAAAGGTTCTTTAACAATTTGGTTCTGTTGTTTGTGTTTTAAGCCCCTCATAGTCTGCGATTATTGACAGGAGCCTTTTAATACACTCAGAAAAACAATGACATGTGCATAACATCTACTACAACATGCCACACTGTTCACAGTAGTAATGACCCCACCTCCAGGGAAAAACCAGTCAGCATGCTGAATTATGGGCTCAATGATGCCAACAATCTGTAGGGAAACAGTGGTCATCATCTCCGTCATGTTCCTGTAAAAAAAGCAAAAAAGAGCCATGATAAAATGAACGTGTGGCTAGTTTATGTGTGGGGAAAGCATTAAGGAAACTTACGGTTCTGTGTGTGTCCAGAGCAGGTTAGGTCCGAGAACAATGGCAATATTACCAGGAGTCATCTTATTTGAGTCTTGATATTCACTCAGCTTGGCTAAAAATTTGATCAAATATCTGCAGGATTAAAACAAAAGAGAGAGTATTGTTACTCAAAAGTTCTTTAATAATGGAAATTAAAATTACTTTCAGGGGGTACAAGTAAGGATGGACAATTATCTGGGTTGCAGACACACAAACTAATGCTGCTGCAGAGGTGTCACAAAGTAAATAAAGATGTTCAGGACTGCAAGAATCTTAGAAGGATTTTAAGCAGATAATACTGACTTAATTTTGGGATTATCAATTCTATATGGCATAATCTATGTACAGTAGTCCCTCGCTACTTCGCGGTTCGTGTTTCACGGAATCGCTCTATCACGGTTTTTCAAAATATGATTGGACATGAAACACAATTGGCTGAATGATGGATGAGCCGCATGATCGGCATGGAATTTTTTATTTAAAATGAAATATTATTATTATTATTATTAATTATTTAGCACCTGCTGCACTTCTGTGCAGCCGACACTGCAGGAGAAACCCTCCTCCTTCCGCCTCTGTCGATCTCTGTTCTGCAACGGAGAAGTGGGTGTGGCCGAGAGCTGAGTTCATATATATATATATATATATATATATATGTATATATATAAACAGCTACTTACTACTTGTACTACTGTTCCTACTTTGTGGTTTTTCACTTATCGCGGGGCTTTAGGGTACGGATCCTCCACGATAAACGAGGGACTACTGTATTTATAAAATTGCACTTGTGTTAAAATATAAATCAAAGAGCAGAAAATCTAAAAAAAGAAACTGACCTAAAATTATTCAAGTTGTCTGTGGGTAGCTTTTCACATACTGCCATCAATGCTTGTAGCCTCTTGTCCATATCTTGAATGCTGCAAACAAATGGTTAATATAACGGTTTATTTAAGCTGCACTTTCTACTAAATGTTACCAGTTATATTGAGTTAGGAGGCTCTTTATGAAGGCACTGAACTACTCTTTATCATAGCCAGTGGGATAATCCAAGAATCATTTTTTAAGGAGAGGATGGGAACTCACTTAGAAGCCTGAATCCATTCATCATAAAGTTCAGTAGTCATTAATGGCTCGGGGAGTTCACGGAGATACGATTTCAGGGCCCCTGTGGGTGAGAAAAACATGTCGAGGATAAAAACAAGTTGGTCAGCTGTTTTGAGATGGTGGAAGGCTATTTTCTTGCCTTTAGGGCACATGGGAGGACATGCTCCATATCTTTACTGCCCTCTAGCATGCCTGTGCAGCTGCCAGATATGTTTGTGCACTATAGCTGTCATGCTAATACTGTAACAGATAATACACAAAGAAAACTGGGGGCAGAGCTGATCATGATTGGTTCACTGTGGGAAACAGCAGCATTTTCTAATGTGTTTGAGTGGGTGTAATTCACCTGCAATGGCGTGTGGGTCGGAGGAGTACTCCGGCACATCAAGAACTCCGCAGTCCAGGGAGGCTTTCAGCTTCTTCAGCTTAGAGGCCGATGGAGCCACTCTGAAAAGGCCCTTAAGACCCCACATAAATTACACAGTCATGAGTAATTACTGGTTGTAACATGAACTTTTTCTCTAACATGAAGAGGTGGGGAAATAAATGCGGAAAGTGCACTTGTGGGCAAATGTTAGGATTTTTTTCCCATGCAATAAACAAAACACAGCTAAAGCAAATAGGATGTGTAAAAGGTGCTCGTGCGTGTGTTGTACCTCTTCCTGCATGCCACACTCTAATAGCATGGTGACACACGCTTCGATGGGGAAAGCGATCTCCCTCCCACTAATATTCAGGTGTTCCTCCAGAGACTTGCCAAATGACGGCTTCTCCACCCACGCCTCTGCAACACGAAGCAGCGTCACGAATCACACAGAGGTACAATAAAAACCCACTCATCACATACGCCATCTTCCTCAGGAGGGTTTAGGAAGAGTTTATGCAAAGTTTTAATATTTTTGTGCAAATTTAATAAAAAAAAAAAGCAATGCTCAAGGCTTCGGTGAAAATACTTAAAATATCATGATCAAAGGAGCAGGTGGAGCAGCTGCTCCCACATTTTCTGTCCTGTTCCTGTTTGAAAGCACATTGTAATATCCATTACACTATAGCTTGCACTGTGAGTTATACCATTGCTTGCCCTTAGGTAGACACAATTACATCCTCAACTTTGCTCCCACATTTTATTACATAACCAGGCGTCCGTGATCATGGTGCATAATTATTGTTTGATTAGGTTGTTTTATGCGACACATCAGGGATCCGTTCTCCTTTTTACTCTCATCGTGGTAACGCTTCAGGTGCTGAAACACAGCGGATCTCTACTCACTCCACACAGCGCATGACTCACCTTGGTGAGCTTTAATCTGGGGCAGGACACTGTGAAGAATTTCTAATGACTTCCTGTGATATTCTGCCTGTGTCTCTATCAACTACAGGAGGAAGAATAAAAAGGAATGATTAGAACAAGCTGCGACATAAATAAACCCAGATTTATCAGTATTAGACCATCTTAAATGTTTGCTGTGTTAATGGTGATCCGGAACAAAAAGAACATTTATGGTATTTTTGCACGGCAATTCAGGTTTTGTGGATTCAGGTAACTTACCGCCTGGAAGTAGTTTGCATAGTCTATTTCTTTGGCCACGAAATTGTACATGTCTGCTGACAGCTGATCCTGGAAATGAAAACAGACGAAAACGAAACATCACAGCGATGTGGTCCATTTGTGTTTGATACGTGCACGGTGTCCGTTAATCAAAGGGAGAACACAAGAAGCAGGGGAGGAAATGATGAAGGATTTGCTCTGGTTGGCGACTCACTCTACAAATCTCCATCCGATTGGCTGCCTCCTCCATCTCCTCTCTCAGGGACTCGGACTTGGTGCCAGGCTGCATTGTGCTTGGGTGGCTGGAGGACTTAGACGACTGCTGATATCTATGTAGGCAAAACAAAACTACAGCGCTGGATGGGTCACATTTTCCCCATTTCAGACCAATAACCTTAAATGACTTTCACCTTGTTCGTGCTGAGTCCATGTCCAAGACCAGTTTAGCTAAGTGTTTCCTCTGTTTCTGAATGTTGGGGATTTCTACCTACAAGAAGATTATTACAGACACTTAGACAAATATAAGCTGCTAAAGATAAAAACTAGACGGCAGCTCTGCACTGTTTGATTCAAAGCTCATTATGTCGTAATTAGTGCTTTCTTACCTCTGCAAGCACGTAGAGAGGCTCCACCACATCTCTTTCAGTCTGGAGCTCGAACTGAAGCAGCTCCTGGGCCAACTTCTCTTCTGTCTCTCCACACATCTTCAGCATCTTTCTGTTGCGGAACAACCACACACAGAGTCACGAGCAGTGGAACGCAGATAAAATCATGAACAAGTAAAGATGGAAAAGACACTGATAACTGAATCAATAATGAATTAATGGGCTAGCGTTCCTTCAGGTTTATCGCCTGCTGCTTTTCATGCCAGAGATTTTTTTTCATTCAACCTTTATTTAGACAGGTAAATCCCATTGAGCCTCGAGGACTCATTTACAAGAGAGACCTGATTTCAACAGAGATGAAAATTTAGGTTGAGAACATCTTATGTTGAGAAAAGAGAGAGAGCTGTTGCTAATTTTGGTCACACCTTGACAATAGTGTTATTATCAAAATTTCATGAAATATCACAAGATGTCCGAGTATGTGTTGTGACTCACTCTCAGCTACTACCTCATCAAATTTAACTAAATATCTCGAGTTGATGTACATTTAATGCTGATTTCACCAGTTTCTTTAAAACCAATGGTTCAGAAGACATTTTGTTAACAGACACAATTGACTCCATCTAATTGCCGTACTTTTCACTGTATAAGTCGCACCTTTCTGCATAAATTAGCATGCCCTGCGACTTATACGGCGAAGCGACGTATTTTTGTTTTTTTGGTCCATATTTGTAACTAATTTTCAGCTGAGATCTGATGATTTCATTCCTTCTGACAATGAAAAAATTGAACACTACCATTTTCAGCTGCTAGAGGGCGCTCAAGTCATATGGCAAGCCAAGTATCTCATTAATATGTAAAAGTGGCTATTAATGAGACACTTGGCTTGCCATACCAAGCCACCTTCATCTCGCTCCGGAATTCCTGGAGCTAACATCAACTCAGCTGTTTCCTGATGCATGCTCAATAATCCAGGTAGAAAAATCTAAAAAAGTTAAATCTGGTCCTCTGGACATTCATGAATGTCCAGAGGACCAGATTTAACTTTTTTAGATCAACTCAGCTGCATTTCTCTGTGTCGCCCAGGTGAAATGCAGCTGCTTTGACCATTACAGTGCATTTATTAAGGAAAATTTAAACTGAGACACGCCTTTGCTATAATTTTGAGCAAACAAATAATTGTTTTTAAGTGTTAATCTTGTTAAATTCTTGTTAAAGTCCTCCCGTGCACGCTCCCATGGCCGCCATTTTACAGTTAATCGATTTTTGGCATAACACCGGCCCACGTTTCTGAGTGGTCAGCATTGACGCATAATAGATACGACTTATACAGCAAAGCAACATATTTATGTTTTTTATCCCACTTTATTAGACATATTTGGACTAATCTGACTTATACGGCTGTGCAACGTGTACGGGGGAAAGTACGGTAACAACAAACTGTAGACCAACATCTTGCACAGTCTGTTCCAGATAAGAATATTTTTGGCCTAAGACTCAACTATGACCACACCAGCATCAGTAAAACTGTCTGAGTTACAGTCAGCACTGAGTTTAAGGGCAGTGGCTGTGGCAGCCATCTTGAATCAAGTTGACTTTAAAGGTTAAAGAGTTGTAGCTGTAAATCCACTTCAAATGTATCCAGTGGTTGATGAAATATTTTCATAACAGAAACATGCACAGACCAAGAAACACAGGCAAAAACATTATCGTACACTTTTGGTTTTTGGTGGCGGGTGATAATAAAAATTTTGTATGTGTGCACAAGTTTAATCAGTATTTACCCTAGAAGCGAGTCGTCCCCCAACACCAGAGCGCTCTCCTCCATGCATTGTGCCAAGATCGTGAGAGGAAGTTTTTTCTACCATCAGAGGAATACCATTACTCAAACATCATTATTTAGTTTTCCATCAGTTCTTGGTGTCTGGGAGACGGATACTCACAGATGGTGACTTGACAGATTTCTTTTCCGTGTCGGTCCCCTGCTGACCCTGCAGGCAGGCGGTCAGCTTCTTGTGAGTGCTGTGCGTCACCTGCTTGACCAGATCCAGACGCTTCTCTACCTGCAGGAACACACCAGGAGATATACATCACGTCCAGCGATAAAACAACTATCCCCTCTTAGAAAAAATAATAAAACTGCACTGAAGAAATCCAACAGAACACACATTGTTTCTTGTTTTAAATTTTCTTATTTTTTTATATTGTTTGATATGTGAGAAGTTTGATCATTTGATCAAAGCTAATGCATAATAAAACTCAGTTATATAACTGATAATAATGCATATAATCATATCTTTCATAAATACATGAATGGAGAAACGTTTGCTCCTTTTAGGTTGGAGCTTTGTTGCTTTTTTATTGATGGGCGGAAAATATTTTGTCAGGCAGATGTGTAAAAAATGACTTTTTAGAACCTTTTGATCCTTTTATCATTACAATATGTAGCATCCTTGGATAAAACACATCAATCCTCTTTTTGGCACATTATAGAAATAGACTGATTAATTGGTTAATCAATTCTAATCAGCTGATACTGACTACTATTATATAATTGGAAACCACCCATGCCTGTGAATACTTAATGAATTACCAAGTAGAAAAATGAACATGCAGCAGCTGTAACAAATAGCTCACTGTAGCCTACAAATTGTTTCCTCATGAGAGAATGCCATTCTGTACATTTTTTTAAATGTGTAAGTTTTTTTTAACAAGCAGTCAAACATGCATTTATTTAAATTGAGCTAATGACGTTACATTTTGTTTATCATTAATTCTTAATCTGCTTTTGCAAATATACACACAGATGTTACTAGAAAATGTTACGTCTATGTTTGTCCTAAAACAGTTCTTTGTTGGAAACGTAGTTTGTTTTACTCGCTTCAAGATTCATGAATACCGTACTTTTCCGACTATAAGGCACACTTATAATCAATTAATTTTCTAAAAAAAATCGACAATGAGCCTTATGCATTAATTTTGGTTGTGCTTACTGACCTTAAACCGATTTTATGTGGTACATGGCGCTCAAAAATCTGTCAAAATGTTTTAGTTTCACTTAATGCACCTTATAATCCGGTGCACCTTATAGTCTGAAAAATACGGTAAATGCTGGTTTTTATTGATTTGTTTTGTTTTTGTCAGAACAGTGGTCCAAAGAACTCTTTTATCTCTGGAACAATATTTTGCCTATTTGTATATGCCAGGAATTCACATTTATTATAATAAAACGCCTTGAAAACTGAGGAACTCCTGCCAGACTGTTATCGGTTCAATGAATTGTTATTTCTAGCTGACTGAAATCGTCACACAGAAACTTTACTGCAGCTCACCTGTAGAAGATCTTCGCTCAGCACTTCTGTTTTTTCTGCTCTGGAAAGATAAAAGTGCACAACAAGCAAATAAAAATTAGCTGACATTAACTTATGTTGGCATTTTCTAACAAATCACTGACTTGTCAGCTGTTGAGATTCATATTTAAATGGCAACACAAGTATACTGCACTTTTGCAAAAGCTCCTCTTTGCATCACATTTAGGAGAATTGTTCAGTGACTTTTTGTATGTCAGTGAGGCTTCAAAACCAGATCACGTATGTGTTTTCATGGCTGTCGCTGACTCGTGATCTTACAGACCATTTAACAAAATAAAAAAATACTTTATTAATACAAAAGGGAAATTATTTGTTGTTGTAACTCGTTATCCTCATTTCTTTAAGAGATGTTATAGATACTGAGGCTGTATAGGAAGGATCTCTTGCAAAGGTCCATCCCATAGTGGATCCTAAGAAACTGGCTGCAGATGCCGTCCGATCCGTCCACCCAGACTCGGCTGGCCTCTCGGTTCCCCCAGGGTAGGACCACCCCAATGACGGGCAGAACTCCTCCCAAAGCGATGGCCACTCCTCCCAGCAGTCTGCCGAGCTCCTCGTCATTGCGGACAGCCAACTGTAGGTGCCGAGGGACGATCCTGTCCTTCCACTGTCATGAGCCGTGTTTCCTGCTAGTTCCAGGAGCTCAATGGTCAGGCACTCGAGCACAGCTGGCAGGTAGATGAGAATGCATCCACAGAACATCCTTTCAACTCATTTGAGATTTGGGGCTGTAGTTGAGGTATTATTTGAGCTTTTGAGCTGTTGGTTGTAGAAAACTGCCTTGTTGCCATGGTTACACATCATAACAAATGTCCAAAACTGAAAAAGTTTTAATAAAAATCCTTCCAGCTGCACAGCATCCGATACCAGAGGAAACAATCATCCAAAGAATGTGATTTACATCCAGAAAAAGAGGAATTACAGTTTCCTAAAGCAAAATCACAGAATAAACGTAACAGAGCTGCTCCAACATGCAGCCACCTTGAGCAGCGCAATAACAGCAACAACAACAACAATAGCATGTTAGAGCCACTGATTCAATATGCCAGCTCCTACTGTGGTGTGTTGCATCCCACTGTGACTCTAACAGACAAGGACTCAGCTCCTGTGTCAGTGAGGCCAGAGCTGCAGAGCTGCAGAGCTGTGGAGCCAATGAGGCAGGTAAAGCCACTCAGTCAGAGAAATGAACGAGTCGTTCGCTTAGGAGAAAAAGCAAAGCACTGGATGTTGTAAATATATGAAGTCAGCTTAGCTTGGAAAGCTTCAGCCCTTTTTTCTGTAGAGTTCTTCTTACAGCTCAAGCTTCTAAACTTCAACAAGCAAACACCATCAACCTTAAAACACAATGACTGACCAGTCTCATGTTAAAGAACATGCACTTCCTGCTCTGACAGGAAGTGAGATCGGGCAGAGTGTATGACCTCTTAAACTGAGATTGAACCCCACATGCGTATCCCCCCAGCAACCCTCCACTTTCTCTGCACGTTCACATCCTGTCTGCACAACCTCTTCCAGCAATTGTGCCCAAACTGTGCCAACCTGAGGAACAAACAAGTGAGCATGAGAGAATAAAAGACCTTTATTTGTTCTTCTAATATTCATGAGCAAGCTAAAACTAAAGCAACATCACATAAACATAATGCAGTTTTCATGATTAATACAGCCATATTGATAGCCCAGCACACAGCGTGGCAGATTTGTTCAGAAATTACAAAAAATAAATGTATGTGCAACATAAAGAAGCTGCTTTTTATATTCTATACATTGTTAGAAAAATAAGAAGCTACATTTTTGTGATATCAGTTATTAAAATCTCAGCCTCGGTTCCAAGATGTGGACATGGAGCCATGGGAACTGGGTCAAAGCATGCACCAGAGCATCTAATCACAGCCAAACGCTCGACTCACGGAGCTGAGGAGGAAAAATACAGGAAATGTTTTCAAGCATGCCCAGAAAAGAAACAGAGTATGATGGAGAACCAAGAGAGTTCTGGCACAATTAGTAAGAACAGGTGCGATCGCAGACTGCTGACGGCGTGACAAAGGAGGAAAACTAAAATAATCAAAGCGATCCAGTAACATTTGGAACAGCGTTGCTTACACATTTCAGCAGCTTACAAATCTTTAAAACTTGGTTTTGCATAAAATAATTCTGCGGGCGGGCAGCACGGTGGCGCAACTGGTAGAGCTGCTGCCTCTCAGCGAGCAGGTCCTTGGTTCAAACGCCGGTCCAGGTGCCTTTCTGGGTGGAGTTTGCATGTTCTCTCCGTGCATGCGTGGGTTTTCTCCGGGTGCTCCGGTTTCCTCCCACAGACCAAAAACATGCATGTTAGGCTGATTGGTAACTCTAAACTGTCCCTATGTGTGAGTGAAAAAGTGAATGGTTGTTTGTCTCTATGTGTCCCTGTGATGGACTCGCGACCCGTCCAGGGTGTACCCCGCCCCTCGCACAGTGATTGCTGGACATGAGCACCGGCAACCCCCGTGACCCAAAATGGAATAAGCGGGTAAAGATAATGGATGGATGGATGGAATTCCGCGGGCAAATGCAATATATCTAAAATACCATACAGAATGGTTGGACCAGTGAAAAGTGACCAAGGATTGTTTGAAAGAAATGCACATAACTTGCCGCCTTTCAAGCAACAGTTTTAGACGAACTTGCGTTGTGGAAGTCGTCCTTTTGGACAAACCGTTTAAACTATGCAACATCTCATGTGATATTGTGTGATGTAATGCTCAGACTATGTGTTGTGGATGACTCTCAGCTACCACCAAACTAAACTTTAGCCCAATAAAACTGTAAAACTAGCAGAGTTATAAATATTTTTTGTTGGTTAAAGTTGATTAACTGTGGCCACCAGCATTTCTGAATTCCAAAAGTCCATCAGTTGTAGACGTACATCCAAAAATTACTTTATAAATTATCTTAATTAAAATTCATTCACTGGTTTATATGTTGCTAACAGACGAACCAGACTGACTCCAACAAGCTAAAGTTATAAGCTAAGATCTGGTGAATGAGTAGCACTTGGAAAACGTGTTGTGAATGATTCTCAGATAATGTCCTACAAGTACAACTTATACATAAATATGTAGCATGATATCTTTAAAATTTTCATTCATTCAACCTTTATTTATACAGATTAATCCCATTAAGCCTCGGGGACTCATTTACAAGAGTACAAGAGTAAAATGTACCAATTTATAGCCCTTCTGTGTATTTTAAGGTCAGTGAGTTGTGGTAGCCATCTTGAAGTGAGATAGCTTTAAATTGTAATCAGTTGTAAATATACATCCAATGATACATCCAGCAGCTGTGGATGAGTGGTTAGAGCAGTTGTCCTCCAATGGGAGAAATGGGGGTTTGATTCCACCAGCAATCACATGCTGAAGTGTCCCTGGGCAAGACACTGAACCCATCATTGCCTTCGATGTGAGTCTAATCGGTGTATGAATGTGATAAAGTGCTTAAATAGTAAATGGCAAACTTTCCTCTTACAAAAGCTAATTACAACATAATCTGCCTCTGAAAACACAAATATAACAGAATACATCTAAACTAATAGCCCATACTGGAAATATTGGAGTTGACTGGTCCTAAAAAGACCCTGATGTAAATCTCCAGCCTCAGGGAGAAATCTGAGGTGAGGAGTGATCGTTCTCTCAGCAAATATGTGTGCAGATTGAGTCCTGGGAGGAAAGTAAGCACGTGGGAGAGCTGGCAGCCGTGTAGGTGGTGTATGGAGAGGGAGGTGGACGCTGCCAGGTTTATGCCAACCATCTGCCACAGTGCAGGCATCCCTGTACCCCGAGCTTCTCATGACTCATCACAGGCAGAAACACAAACATGCATAGATGACCAAAAATATAAAGACCGCAAACTTCTCTCATTTCTTTCAGTTTAAGTGAATGATAAATGATGAGGGATCATTCTTGAACACGGAGGGATGGTAAAATTTATATATATATATATATATATATATATGCAAATTGGTTTATTTTACAAGTTAAAAAACCGTGTAAACATCACTGAACGATGTGTCAACATTAAAGCCTTTGACATCTTTACATCACATACAATGGAGGAAAAAAGCAGTGGTGTACCGTATTTTTCAGACTATAAGGTGCACCGGATTACAAGGTGCATTAAGTGAAACTAAAACATTTTGACAGATTTTTTGAGTTTTCTCAAAAACCGACAGTGAGGCTTATAATCAGGTCCACCTTATGTATTAATTCTGGTTGTGCTTACTGACTTTGAACTGATTTTATGTGGTTATTGTGAATGAGTTGAATAAAGTTTGACTTATCTGACTGTTTTGTTTCGCTTAATGCACCTTATAATCCAGTGTGCCTTATGTATGAAAACAGACACACACACACACACACACACACACACATATATATATATATATATATATATATATATATATATACAAATATATATGTATATCAAAGCTTGAGAATTTCAGTATACCCATTTAAAAGTGCCCAGTGATAAATGACATATCATTAGGCATGTGTCATTGATACTGTAATGGCAGTTAAACACTTCCTAACAATCTGTCTGTATGCAGTGCTTGTTTATTACATTCTTGTATCCAGCAAATTATTTTACCATTAATACTTTTGTAACAAAGTCCAGGCTCAATAATCCAGGTATACAATCCAACATTTTTCAGTCAGGTCATCTGGGCAGTAAGCTGTTGGAGGAAGAATCAGTTTTATGTTGTGTATTTCCTTGACTGATGAAGCCTTCTGGATCGAAGGCAAAACGTTTCAGCACAAAAAAAAGAAACTGTCCAGATGACCTGACTGAAAAATGTTGAATACTTCTGTATTTATTTACTACTTATTACTTGAACATGTTTTGCTTTGATACTGTTTTATGAATTCTGTACCATGTTTTTAATACAAAGCCAACTGTTGTACAAAGTTTGTTGTTCATTTATTCAAATATAAGCATCAGAGAAATTTGGAAATGTTCAATATGTTTAAA